AAACGTCTCACACTGGATAAGCAAGTCCTCATCTTCTATGTCTCTATATAAAGCCCACAACAATAAATATTAGCAATTCCTTAATCATGATAAATGATTAATTTTTAAATTTTTAAATCATCAGTTGATAAGCCTACAGCAGAAGCTAATATTCCCACCTAGCATCTATACAGGGCGGGGCATAACCTTTTCCTAGGGGGTCACAGCAAGATCGACAGCAGTTTACAACTTCCGCGACACCTCATTTTAAAGCCCATAAAAAACTGAATTGAATGAGCTATTAAATGTTAAATTTGCTTTAAGAATGGCTGGAAAATTCGATTCGGAAGAACAAAGGATCATTGACAGAATAAAATGCATTGCCTTTCGAGAGGCTCGCGATGCTGGAGCCAGATCTCAATTCGCCAGATCTCAATCCGGCAGAGAACATTGGGGCCATAATTAAGGATGAAGTGGAAGCTCTGATGATTCAGGAGCAAGGTCAAAATCGATATTCGGTTGAAACTTTGAGAATGAATTTGGAAACTGTGTTGAAAAATCTGGAAAATCGAACGGAACTGTTTGAAGATTTGTTGTGTTCTTATCCACCTCGTTTGAATGCTGTTCGAAGGGCTAATGGTGGTCATACTGACTATTAAATCGTGTCAATAAACTCAGTTTTTGATGGGCTTTCGAATGGTGTATGAATTATTTGTGTTGTTATTACAAGTGTTGCTGTGACCCCCTAGGAAAAGGTTATGCCCCGCCCTGTATATCTGATTAATAAAAAAACTCTAAGTTGATGCAATTGCAGGCTAAAGAAATGTGGCAGTAAAAATACATCCTAAATCCAAACTTATACAAAAAGAATTACTGAATGAGGATGGCTTGCTTGTTATCTTACTTATAGATATATGTATGTATGTATGTATGTATGTATGTATGTATGTATGTATGTATGTATGTAAATAAGTATGTATGTATGTATGTATCTATGTATGTATGTATTTTTCACATTTCTCCCTCTAAGAACTTTTTTGCAGGTAACACTCAGTTTTACAAATAACTCACATAGACACACCAAACAGATGTGGCAAGCATCACAATGTAATCTAGATCAGCTAGTCTGGGCTATTTAAGCTTCAGTGGGAATATAGATGACCACTGCAAAGTAGCTTCAGGTAGTTTCTGGAGAGACGGCTAAGACATGTCAAATTTTGAGCATAATGAATGCTTAGTCTTACAGATCCCAATTTAAGAGAATTTTTTTTGAAAAAGTATCTAGATTATTTTTTAACTAATGAAGGGAAGGTGATGAAGATAAATGAAAGAGCCAAGAGAGTATTATTACTCAGCCGGATGGATAGAAATCTTGCTAAATCAATGAAACCTTATTTTCTAAAGGAAATACTATTGTGGTCAATTATATTTAAGCTCATGTCTGTTGTTTCCTTCTACAGGAAGGAACTAGATATTAGAGATATAACAATAGACTCAGAGAAGTATTTTGATAAGGAAATGGCTCTCCCTTAATCATGTGATGTATACAGTATAAAATTGTGAAACAATTATCCTATTTCAAATATAATATAGTTACATAGTCCAAAACATAATGAATCACTCACCGTAGTTTGCTTAAAATATCCAAGAACTGAAGACCTGGAAATAGAGAAGATGAAAAAAAAAAAACCCCATCAATATGTGCTCTAATAAAAACAAACTACTTTAGCATCAGTAACACTAGCAAATATGCAATACAGAAAATGACTAGAGGTACTCCTTGACTTATGACCTCAATTGAGCCCAAAATGTCTGCTGTTAAGTGAGAATTTGTTAAATGAATTTTGCTGCATTTTGACCTCTCTCGCCACAGTTGCTAAGTGAATCACTGCAGTTGTTAAATTAGTAACACAATTGTTGAGTGAATCTGGTTTCCCCATTGACTTTGCTTATTAGAAGGTTGAAAAGGAGGATCATGGGACCCTCCCCCCCCAAAGATACTGCAACTGCCATAAATATGAGTCAGCTTCCCAGCATCCAAATTTTGATCATGTGCCCATGGGGATGCTGTAATGGTCATAAGTGTGAAAAATGATCATGCACTTTTTTCAGTGCTGTTGTAACTTCAAGTGGTTACTAAATGAACTGTTGTAAGTCAAGGACTACCTGTAAATGGGCTATCAATTTAGCTAAGGAAATCTTTTTGTGAAACAGATGTAAATTTGAACGATAAATGATGCACAACATGGAATTGCTAATTTAAAAAAAAATAGTTTAGCAAGAAGGATCTGTCTTCTTGGAAGCCAACTTTTTGTTTTGTTTTATTTTCTTGCGTTTAGATAAATTTAGGGTAGGTAAGTCTGGTAGGTCATCATGCTTAGAAGGTTCCACTAGGGTAGGGATGTCAAACCGGCAGCCCGGATGCATCACACGCAGCTCTATGAATGGGAAAAACATCGTGAAATGTCATGTGACAGCAAAGTGATGTGGTGAGTTTCACCCCCGTACACTAGAGGCTTGCTGATAGGCCAGGGGATTTTCTGACGAAGCTAATTTCATAGGGAACATCTGAACTGAAAGCCATTCTTACCAATGAACTCATTCCGGAGCTGCATCCTCCCTCTCAGTTCCTCTGTTCCCAGTATAACTGCATTGATGGCACTCAAGAGCGTTATCATGTAGGGCACATTGTCTGTGACCGAGAGCTCATTCATAATGACGCTGAACCGATACTGTTGGTTTTTCACAGTCTGTGGAAAAGGAGGCAAATAAAAGATGTGCTGGATTGAATGCTAGGTTTAAAAAACCAAGTTTGTTCAAACTACTATTGTCACCTCGATTAATCTTCAGAGTTTTAAGTAGAAAATTCAGAAATCTGGTTATGCTAGAAATCCAACTGATGAAGTTTCACAAGTTGAACTATGTTCTTTCTCTGAAAGAAGAAGTCCCTAAATTCATGGGAAATGGCAAGATGGAAAAAAAATGTTTCCATCACAACGCTTTTACTTTTCTTAAGTTTAATTAACTTTCCCTATTTCAAGTGTGAGGAACCTGTGGTTCTTTATCGTGTTTCCTCGAAAATAAGACAGGTCTTATTTTCTTTTGACCCCAGAAATAAGCACTTGGCCCTATTTTCGGGGAAGTCTTATTATTTTTGAGGTGCAGAAGGCAGCGAGTGTGGTCACCTCAGGGCTGCTGCTGTGTTGCAATATTTTCAGGGAAGGCTTATTTTCGGGGGAGGGCTTATTTTAGCACATGCACTCAAAAGCCTGATTGGGCTTATTATCCAGGGAGGTCTTATTTTCAAGGAAACAGAGTAGATGTGACTGAAGTTTCATTCCCAACATTCACCGATGATCAAACAGGCTGGATGGCTGAGAGTTGTAGTTAAGCAACATTAAGAAACCATAGCTTCTCCATCTCTGTGATGTCAATGATTTCAGTTATGAGAAAGTGGGCCACTGAAATGGACTGGCATTTCATAGTAAATTAAAAACAGAAGATTTTTGACACAATTCATTATCCACCAACGGAAATCCTTACTCTATAATATGTTAATAGGAGGCACTGACATCAACAGAGGTAGCAGAAAGGATAAACATGGGAAAATATACTTGAGTTCCTTATCACAGAGCAAGGGTTTATGTGTATAAATGCTCTAAACAGAACCTAAAACTGAGGTCAGCAATCTTCTTGAACCACTGGGCATATTTAGCATTTAAGGAACCTCCCTCCCATCTCATTGTGTGTGTGTTTTTTAAGGTAGATGGGTACAAAGCTCTAGTCCCATCATTGTGAACCTATGGCATGCCATTTGTTAGGGCACGCAAGGTGTTGCCCTGTCAGCTCCAGCGTGCATGAATGTGCTGGCCAGCTGACTTTAGCCTTCATTTTTGGCCATTTTTCACTTTCCAGAGGCTTCTGGAAACAGACTTCTGGTTTGGTTGTTGGGCCATTTTTCACCCTCCAGAGGCTTCAGAGAAGCTCCCTGAAACTTCCGGAGGGTGAAAAAGGGCCCTATGGGCAACCCAGAAGTTCAGGAACGGACTTCCGGGGTGTCCATAGGGCCATTTTTCACCCTCTAGAGGCTTCAGGGAAACCTGCTGAAGCCTCCAAAGGGCCTCCGGGGCGGGGGGTGTTAAGGGAGGCCATTTCCCCCCTCCTCATGCTCCTAGAAAGCCTCTGAAGCCTGGGGAGAGTGAAAAACAGGTCCATTGCATGCAAAAAGTGGGGGAGGGCGGGGGTCGCACACGCATGCACGGGTGTGTGTGCACATAGAATTATGGGCGTGGGCACGCCCGTGCATGACCCCCCTGCGCTCCCCATGCTTTTGGCATGCGATGGCAAAAAGGTTAGCTATCACTGCTCTGGTCTATAGATAGGCACAATTTTTCTTTTCTAAGAATGTCTATGAGGTCCAGAGGCAGTTTGCTTTTGTTTTAGGAGCAGGGAAGAATGATGTTGGAGAATGACATTTGGCTTTGCAGCATGCCAGTTTTTAATTAATTAAATTTTAATAACCTCAAAGAAAATAAAAAAAATGATGTAGGCTGTCTGGGGGATGCCAAGGTAGATTCCTGTTGTCTTAAATGCCAGATTCCCTAATTCTGCTCTGCAAGTTCAGAAGAGGCTAAATGCTTGTGTCTTTCTGGATGAGGACCAATGAGATGGACTGATTGGTTTGATTCTGAAGAGCTACTTTGATCAAGGCAGATTATTATAGTGGTTAATAATGGTTAATTGCATCTGATTTTCCACTTGCCTTGTAATGGTCTAGAGCATCCAAAGCCAGTACATGGCCATCAAATGAATAAATGCAGAGAGCAGCCAGGAGTTCAAACACTTGCTTTTTGACCATGATATTTGAAGTGTCCAGTGCTACAAAGACAAAAATGAACAATTATATTTCAGAGTTATTTTATGAATTTTATAGATGATACAGCTAGAAAAAGCTTTTCTACTCAACTCTAAGTTCAGGGAACCCAATCTAGATTGAGGCTCTAATTTGTGGAGGAAAAGGCCTTAATTCCTTGTTCCCTGACCCAATACAAATACGACTCATTCTAATGGGCCTCCTTCTCCCTACAAAGGATTGCAGCTCTCCACTTTACAAGCTAATTCAACACCCTATACCCGTGGTGTCAAAGCTATGGCACATGTGCCGGAAGCAGCAGGCAGAGCTATCTCTCTGGGCATGTGAGCCATTGGCCATTGCTCTTCCGGGTTCTGACGTTCTGGCCAGCTGGTATTCACATGCGCTGGAGCGCCAGAAAGTGGAAGAGCAGCTGCCCAGTGCACATGCACGCACTGGCCACCTGGTCTTCCAGTTTCTGGTGCACGTATGTGCACCAGTCAGCTGATCTTCATGTGCACATGTGCACCAGAAACCGGAAGACAAAGTGGCCAGTGCCCATGCATGCACCGGAAACTGGAAGATCATCTTCCCGGCGGGCACAGGTGGCTGTTATTCCAGTTTCCAGCATGCACATGCATGCATGCCCACGCTCTTGTTTCGGCACTTGGTGCCAAAAAGGTTCGCCAACACTGCTCTATACTGTACCAAAATCTTGCACTCCAATTTCCTACACATCTTTTTTTCTTCTTCCTCAGCTATGTAAGATAATGTACAAGGTATTTTCTGTGAGACACCACTTTATGTACAACCCTTTGTACTGTACCTAACAATCGAGTTCTATTGATCTAAAGAAGGCCAGGGGGGAGTTCATTTCTTTTTATGAGCTATTTCCTGTTTTTCTGAAATAGGTACTCATGTTATTTTCCCTTGGCTGATGAAGAGTGGAAGGACAGAAAGGCTGGAGAGATTATTTCGTAATGCAAGGCAGGACAGGACATTCTTATACACCCTTCAGCCATTTCACATGTTCCCCACTGCTGAGCCCAAGAGCTATTATCCATCATATCTTGAGTCAGCAGAAAACTACACTGACATGACATTTCCTGCCCTGCTCCTGCTTCTACCGTCTTTGTTACAAGTCACAGCGCTCATCCCTGCAAGGGATGACAAAGCCTACAGATTTTTCAATGTCATGATTGCTAGTTTATTCAGTTATCCCCACTAACCTCCATGCTTCCCAGGGATTCTTGAAGAGCTCTAAAATCCAGTAATAATGAGACCCAACTATGAAATAATAAAAAATCAAATCATAAATAAAGGCAAGGAGGGAAGAGAGAGGGTGGGAGGGAAAGAGAGAGAGAGAGAGAAAGACAGAAAGAGAGATAGAGAGACAAACACAGAGAGATATACAGAGAGGCAGAAAGAGACAGAGAGAGAGAGAGAAAGAGAGAGAGGGAGGGAGGGAGGGAGGGAGAGAGAGAGAGAGAACATGCCCTTACCTTGAGAGAGTTTCCTGACATAACCTTCATTGCTAACGATGTATTCAATGCCCTTCTGAGAATTCATTACGGCCCGCACACAGTTGATGCATGTCAACTGCAGGAGGGCATCTGAGATTCTAGAAACTCCTCTCCCCGACAGTCTGTCTAAGGCTTCTAACAGAAGATCCAGTCCACAGAGTTCCAAAAACTGGACCATCCAGCTATCATCACTACTTTCCAGCCGTTTCTTGAGCCCTGAGTAATTCACCACCGAAGGGATTTGCAAGAGGCGAATGCAGAGCTCTGGCTCTGCGTTTTCTAGATTGGCTTCTGTTTGATCCGAATCCTGGGAGCCCAGCTTTTCTTTCAAGACGCTCCATTTCTTGTGTGCATTCTCTTTCTTGCTAGACATTTTGGCAGGTTGCTCCTAAAAGAGGAAGAGGAAAAACAGACATCAAGATTTCATTGATGTTATTATATTTGTCTGTAAATGACTTCCCCACAAATTACTGTCCAAGTCATCAGACAGATAAAGCTTTTACTGCTTTACTGGGAAGCTTCGATTTCCAAAATTAGGCATGTATCATCTCAGATCTTTTCTCCTCTTTCCCACAAATTGTGCTATCAACACAGCATCATAAGAACATAAGCAATCCCCTGATGCACCAGACCCTTGTCCAACATCTTCTCGCAAGGGCCAAGAAACTGCACAAGGGAACTCACTAATGACCCAGAAGATGGCCTTTAGAGACTGTCACACTGCCATCAAGAGCCACTGAATCCTATGACGTCCATAAATTTATCTAATCCTTTTTTTGAAACTAGCAAGCAGTAGCTAGCACCACATCTCATAGTAATGTGTTCCTGAGTTTAAATACACATTAGGTAAAAATAAACCCTTATATTACTTGAGAGATACTTGAGAGACCGCCTGCTGCCAATTACCTCCCACAGACCCATTAGATCTCACAGGGTTGGCCTCCTCCAGGTGCCATCTACCAGCCAATGACACCTGGCTATTACCCAGGGGAGGGCCTTCTCTGTGGCAGCTCCGGCCCTCTGGAATGAACTCCCCGCAGGGATTCGGACCCTCACCTCTCTCCAGGCCTTCCGAAAAGCCGTCAGAACTCTGTGTTTTTCGCATCGGGGCATGCTCTTGCAGCACACCCCGATGCGAAAAACACA